AGGTGTAAAGAATTGTTATTATTTGGAGAAAGTTAATGTAATCAAAAGGCCTATACTAACAACATAAATGGTGATTTTATTTCAGGATACTCAACTCTCGGTAACTACTGTAAGTGAAAATTCAATCCAGTCAACTCAATCATTGTAGTAAGAAAGCATTAATGTTTGTTTGAAGATGTATCTGTGAAGGCCAGAAAATTACCTAACTTACTAAAGGTGAATATAATGTTTTGTTGATGTTTTATTTTTACTGTCCTGTACTATTAATTATTAACAACATGCTATACATGATGATGTTGTTTACACGATAGAGTTTAATCAAATTTAATGTGTATATATTAGGCCTATATAGGCCTTAAGGGATATTGAAATTGTAGTGTAGGTACAGCTGTTTTGAAAACTAAAAAAAAAAAATAATAATTTTCTTTTGTTTAAAAAAGAAGTAACTGCTAGTCTGTCATTGTATATTACTCCTATTTTTATACAATAATAAAGGGATGTAATACATTTAATAGCGGTTTCTATAATATGCGCTCTATTTTGTTTTGTTATATCTTTCAGCAAGAGTGAAACTCCGAGAAATGTTAGTAGAAGTCACAGTGATTTAGTATTTCAAACTAGATTTGTTCAACGGCATAATTCATACTAATTTAGCTTGGTACCATCTGACAAGAAAAGGCATGGACAGTTGCTGCTGCAATATCACAAAGAATGCTGGTTTATGCACACCTGTAACTGTCACAAATGGTTCTTGAATATTGTTTTATATAATAAACTCTTGTAATAGGACTACATTACGAAAAAAAGATGCTTATTTAAACCGGACTGTAAAAGCAAAGAACTGTAGAACAGCCTTGAACTTGAGGTACAGTATGTTTAGCAGTAAGACATTAGCAAAATGATAATATATGAAGGGGTATGCTAGTAAATGAGACCCTAGGGAAGTAATGTCCCTACCGTATGTGTTTGTTAGTGTTTTAAATTAAAAAAAATTATGGTTTGTATATGAACTCATAGTGTAAATTGTAAGTCTGCAGAAGTTGATTAAAGCCATTGTTACCAATTGGAACTGGGACCATTGCAAACCAATTGGAATTGGGGGCCAGTTAAAGTTGAAGAGCAGTTGAATTGTCCAAAAATACACAACACCCACATTTTTTTTTTAGAATACATAGATTTTCTATGGAAAATCGTTCAATTTATATACACTTTTTATACAATTGTATAGAATTTCTATTCGCATGATATTTAATGTATTTTTTGTAGGTTTTTTTTTCTATAAAATGTTTAGATTTATATAGGGGTTTTATTTTATAGATTTATAGATGGTTTTTATAAAATTGTTTATAGATTTTCTATAGTTTTTAAAGGTTTTTTTAAATAAAATTTTTAATAGAATTTTCATAGTTTTTTAATAGAACTTTTATAGAGTTTTAATAGTTTTTTAATAGAGCTTTAATATATTTTTTAATAGATATTTTTTTTATCGTTTTTATATATTTTTAATAGATTTTTAATAAAATTTTAATAGATTTTTAATAGAGTTTTAATAGATTTTTATAGTGGGCTTCTGTAAGTTGCTATAGCTATTTCTATAGAATTTTCTATAGATTTTCTAAACAATATACTATAGACATTCTATAGTGCTTTTTTAATAGAATTTTATAGATTTTTTGTATGGGTAGCATGGACGTTTGTTACTTTTTCCCGTTTAGCCTAGAGTACTAGAGTTGCGCACCTCTCTGTGGTTATCG